TATACGTAGATACATAGAGACTATACAGGCACTGGACGAGCTGAACGATGGGCGTTACAACTTGAATCATGTCAAGCGAACAAACAAGATGAAAGATGTCAAAGATATAAACTATGGCGATACATACTTGAGGGTCAAGGACGTGGCTATAACCAGTGTGAAAGTCTCGAAGATCTCGGGCTTGTTGTGGATCAGCGTCACTAAATCCTGCAATGTCATAACAGTTTTAGGGTTTTTAGGGTTTTAGCAACAGTCACAACAGTAAGTATTTATTAGAGTAAGGCAGGGGTGCGGTTGGCAGAAGTATAAAGCCTTCATGCGCCATGCACCAGTGTACTACAAGCACTCTGCAATTTGAATCAGTCACCTAATCCGTCAATGGCGTAACCGTGAGTATATAGTAAGGCCAGACTGGGATATTCTCCGCTGGCCGGTAGATAGATATATATTTAAAATGCGCGGGAAGTAACGAGTCCCGAACTGCTTCATCCTTATATAGCGCTGTACGCGATACCCATTGCGCGATGCCTCTAAGATCTACTATTTCGGATATATACGCTGAAAGTATATACTGGTTGCTATGCCAACACTTTCACATGGTTTGATATACTCCTATACTTATTAATATATAAACACATACACATCGTAGAGTGCACACCTATACTTATTAATATATAAACACATACATATGTTAGAGTGTGCATCTATACTTAGTGATATACAAACACATACATATAGTTTGGTCTACGACAATACCTCTGTAATGAAATCGCCCGTGACATCGGTGTTGAGCTCCATCAGCATCTCCGTGACAATAGACCCTCTCGATTTCCCAATACTGTCCTGTGGGCGTTCGAAAGCAAGCAAGGACATTAGATTGTATGTATCCTATTGGTTTATACGTATTGGTTTATACGTACCCTATTAATTTATACGTATCCTTCTTTAAGTTGAACTCGATCCACGTTTACGTCACAAGAATATACACAGAGAAAGCACTTAATCCACAAACAATCCTTGGGCAGAAAGGAGGGCAATGCGGCATGGAACATACGGTCCGAAGAAAGGGCAACTAAAAATATCAT